AAAATTCCAGTTAGGGTTAATAAGGTTAGGGTTAGGTCACCATGAACTCATAGAGGAAAATGGACATTGCCAACAAATTCAGAGTGCTTGGCTATGGTTAGGAGGGCACTGAGTTTTTACTCTGCCTATCTATGTGTCCTGGTAAAATACGTGTGAAAATCCAATTGGAGGAAAATTCCAGTTAGGGTTAGGGTTAGGTCAAAATGAACTCAGAGAGAAAAATGGACATCGCCAACAAATTCAGAGTGCTTGGGTATTGTTAGGCCAGAACTGACCTTTCTACCCTGCCCTATATATGTTTCCTGCTACAATAGATGGGAAAATCCCATAGGAGGAATATTCCACTTAGGGTTAGGGTTAGGTCAACATGAACTCATAGAGAAAAATGGACATGGCCAAGAAATTCAGAATACTTGGGTAGTGTTAGGATGGCACTGACTTTTCGAACTTGCCCTATCTATATTTCCTGGTAAAATACTTGGAAAATCCCATTGGAGAAAAATTCCACTTAGGGTTAGTAAGGTTAGGGTTAAGTCACCATGAACTCATAGAGGAAAATGGATATTGCCAACAAATTCAGAGTGCTTGTCTATGGTTAGGAGGGCACTGACTTTTTTACTCTGCCTATCTATGTGTCCTGGTATAATAAATGGGAATATCTCTTAGGAGGAAAATTCCACTTAGGGTTAGGGTTAAGTCAAAATGAACTCATAGAGAAAAATGGACCTCGCCACGAAATTCAGAGTTCTTGGTTATGGTTAGGAGGCCACTAATTTTTCTATGCTGCCCTGTCTACTTTTCCTGGCAAAATACATGGGAAAGTCTCCTTTGAGGAAAATTTCACTTAAGTCATCGTGAACTCAGAGATCAAAATGGACATTGCCAAGAAATTCAGAGTTCTTGTATATGGTTAGTAAGGCACTGACTTTTCAAGTTTGCCCTATCTATGTTTCCTGGTAAAATACATGGAAAATCCCATTGGAGGAAAATTCCACTTAGGGTTAGTAAGGTTAGGGTTAGGTCACCATGAACTCATAGAGTAAAATGGACCTCGCCACGAAATTCAGAGTTCTTGAGGGCACTGAGTTTTCTACTCTGCCGTATCTACTGTATTTTTCCTGGTAAAATACATGGGAAAATCCCCTAGGAGGAAAATTCCACTTACGGTTAGGGTTTGGTCACCATGAACTCATATAGAAAAATGGACATCACCAACGAATTCTGAGTTCTTGCATAGGGATAGGAAGGCACTGACTTTTCAAGCTTGCCCTATCTATGTTTCCTGGTAAAATACATGGAAAATCCCATTGGAGGAAAATTCCAGTTAGGGTTAATAAGGTTAGGGTTAGGTCACCATGAACTCATAGAGCAAAATGGACATTGCCAACAAATACAGAGTGGTTGGCTGTGGTTAGGAGGGCACTGACTTTTCTACTCTGCCCTATCTATGTGTGCTGGTAAAATAAATGGGAAAATCCCTTAGGAGGAATATTCCACTTAGGGTTAGGGTTAAGTCAACATGAACTCATAGAGCAAAGTGGACGTTGCCACAAAATTCAGAGTACTTTGGTATGGTTAGGAGGGCACTGATTTTTGTAGTCTTCCCTATCTACTGTATGTTTCCTGGTAAAATACATGGGAAAATCCCATAGGAGGAAAATTTCACTTAGGGTTAGGGTTAGATCACCATGAACTCATATAGAAAAATGGACATCGCCAACAAATTCAGAGTGCTTGGGTATGGTTAGGAGGGCACTTACTTTTCTACTCTGCCTATCTATGTGTCCCGGTAAAATAAATGGGAAAATCCCTTAGGACGAAAATTCCAGTTAGGGTTAATAAGGTTAGGGTTAGGTCACCATGAACTCATAGAGCAAAATGGACATTGCCAACAAATACAGAGTGCTTGGCTGTGGTTAGGAGGGCACTGACTTTTCTACTCTGCCCTATCTATGTGTGCTGGTAAAATAAATGGGAAAATCCCTTAAGAGGAAAATTCCACTTAGGGTTAGGGTTAAGTCAACATGAACTCATAGAGTAAAATGGACCTCGCCACGAAATTCAGAGTTCTTGGGTATGGTTAGGAGGGCACTGAGTTTTCTACTCTGCCGTATCTACTGTATGTTTCCTGGTAAAATACATCGGAAAATCCCATAGGAGGAAAATTCCACTTACGGTTAGGTTAGGTCACCATGAACTCATATAGAAAAATTGACATCGCCAACTAATTCGGAGTTCTTGGTTATGGTTAGGAGGGTACTGTCTTTTCTAGCCTGCCCTATCTATGGTTCCTGGTAAAATACATGGGAAAATCCCATAGGAGGAAAATTCCTCTTAGGATTAGTGCAGTGGTGGCGAACCTATGGCACGGGTGCCAGAGGCGGCACTAAGAGCCCTCTCTGTGGGCACGTGCACCGGTGCCCCAGTCCTAAGCTGGGTTTTATAACATCTTTTCGCTTTAGGCCTCTGGCACCATGTGCTCCCCCCAAAAAAAATGTTCAATCAGTCAATTTCAACTTCTCGTGGGAAAAAAAAGATCTTGTTAGAATTGATTGATTGAACTTTTTAGTTCCAAACAATCTGCCCTTACCAGCGCAAACATACCCACCCAATGGGCCACACCCACCCAGCACTCAACGATGCATAAGTGGGTTTTGGGTTGCAGTTTGGGCCCTAATCTCTAAAAGGTTCACCATCACTTGGTTATGGTTAGGTCAACATGAACTCATAGAGAAAAATGGACATCGCCAACAAACTCAGAATACCTGGGTATGGTTAAGAGGGCACTGACTTTTCTAGCCTGCCCTATCTATTTTTCCTGCTAAAATAGATTGAAAGATCCCATAGGAGGAAAATTCCACATAGGGTTAGGGTCAGGTCACCATGAACTCATAGAGAAAAATGAACATCGCCAACAAATTCAGAATGCTTGGGTATGGTTAGGAGGGCACTGACTTTTCTAGCTTGCTCTATCTATGTTTCCTGGTAAAATACATGGGAAAATCCCATTGGAGGAAAATTCTACTTAGGGTTAGGGTTAGGTCACCATTAACTCAGAGAACAAAATGGACATCTCCAACAAATTCAGAGTGAAAATTCCACCTAGAGTTACAAGGATCAAAGACTGAAGCTAGAAGAAGGCAATTTTCTGTGATTCAAAAACAGTGCAGAGTTTCCAGTAGTGTGCCTTTTTGCTTCTGAAGCCACTTGTTCCTATTTCAACCAGAGGGTTAATTTTGTTGCATGGGTGGCCAGTGCTAAATTCACTGTGCTAAATCTCACTATGAAGCCGTTACAAGAAAAGCATTTTCTTCTTAAAAGGTTCTCAAACCAACATTTTCAGTTAAGAGTTTTCCTCAGGAACTGATTGTGGGAGAAGAAGAATACCATCAATCAATAAAATATGTGTAGCCATTCTAGTGTGCAATGTAGCAATTAAGGTGTGTGGACTGACACCAGGAGACTCAGAATGAGGTCTACCCATTATGTGACTGAACCAGTTTCATTTTATCAGCCCAACCTAGCTGTTGTTGTGGGGGAAAGTGGAAGGAGAAAGCACAAGTACCACCTTGAGCTCCTGAACTAAAAGTGGGGTATAAATACTAACAACAACAACAAAAAAATGCACCTCCAAAGCAAGAGACAGGCATTTGACAAATCTGGATTTAGGTTAAACGGACCATAATCTCAAATTTCATAGCTGTGAACATTTCTAATCTAATTAATGTTTATATAAAGGAAATATTTATGTTTACGTACTTCTGAAAGACAGAGAGCTCATTTTTATATATTCTTGTGAATGGATTCTTTCGTTTAGCTGATACGTCTATGGCAGGGGTAAGCAACCTTGGCTCTTTTATGACTTGTGGACTTCAACTCCCAAAATTCCTGAGCCAGCCAAGCTGGCTCAGGAATTCTGGAAGTTGAAGTCCACGAGTCATAAAAGAGCCAAGGTTGCCTACCCCTGGTCTATGGAGATTCTCAGTCATCCAGGTCATAATTGTCCCAAAGGTGCTTTTTCAAGAATCAACTGGACTTTCTTGTTATTCTTTGAAGACGTTTTGCTTCTCACCAAGAAGCTTCTTCAGCTCTGACTGGATGGTGGGGATTGGAAGGATTTATATTCCTTGCAGACAGCTGGTCGTTTGCATTCTTTTAGAGAGTCATTCTTTAGCTGATATATTTATTTATTTGTTTATGAGATTTGACAGAATTTAAATCTTTCCAGGTTTTCCTTTTATTTAATAAAGTGGCAAGATACTGAGTTGTAGCTTTTGTGTGTGGAAGTAACCACAGTTGAATTCTTATTTTGTTCAGCCTAGGAAACCTCACAACAAAATCGGAACAAAATTAAATAGATAAATTCCCTTCATGTCTCCTGACCAAATGACAGCCCTCCATCTGACTAAGCTGATCTCTTGGCTGAGGAGTATGTTCAGAGAATGCACAACGTTGCAGTGGATTTCCAAAATGGCATTCCCTCCATCCAGCACAGATGAGACCAGCTTACTAGATGGACTTGTCTTTTTTCCTGGAAGAGGGTGAGGGCACAATTGCTCGTTTATTGATCCAGCTGGCTGTGGATAGCAGCACTTACCCATTTGTGGCTTCGTTAGCTTGCTTTGTCCAAGCCTTGTTTTTCAGTGCAAGATTTTTTTCAATGTACTGCTCCAGGCCCCTAGAAGTATGGATCTCTGTCATTCTTACTCCTCCAAAAGACTCATTTTCATGTAAGGTTGCCTGCACTGCTGGCATGGTCAAAAAGATAAAGATGGCAGTCTCAATCACACAGTAGTGGCCACCATCTTGACTTTTTGGATGTTCCTGCATAAATCCAAAATGAACTGCACTGACAAAGGAACTGAAATAAAAGGGTATTCTGTCTTGCTTTGATGGGAATGGGAATTAGAAGGAAAATGGGGTAGAAGTAGGGGGTTTGGGGGTAACAACATACAAGCCCATTACCCATCACAAGAGGGATATTTAAACAGACTTAAAGATTGGCACGTGTATTAAACTTTATTCAAAAATCTCCCAAAGACAAAAATGGATGAAATTGCAGATGGTAATCTGTTGAAATCATATGAAGTTCATTTATGCTTTTATGGTACCGGTAGTCCTTGAGTTATGTCCATTCCTTCAGTGACCGTTCAAAGTTACGATGGTGCTGAAGGAAGGGACTTAACAGTTGGTCCTCAAAAGTCAATAAGTTTTTTTAATAAGTGGTCTTATGTAATGAATGAAAAAGTTTGGGAAGCACTGGTCTAGGCAATGCCAGCTCAAAAAGCAACAAACAGCAACTTCTCAGCGATTACTGATGTAAAAATCAGCACAAATAATTGTGTGATGGTCTTCGTTGAAGAGCTCAGCTGTTATATTAAATTCTCCCTATAAGAAAAAGAAAGGAAGAAATATATTCTTAAGGAATTAATTAATTAATTTGTGGAGACTACCACTTCTCTTCTAAAATGTTACTGTGGCTGTTGCTTTGAGTTAATCAGAACAATCTAATTAAATTCTCTTTAATTTCAAGTTGCATCTCTCCTTGATTAGTTTCCATTGGTTGTTTCTTGTCCTGCCCTCTCTGGTGCTTTGGAAAATAAATTGACCCCCTCCGCTTTGTGGCAGCCTCTCAAATACTGGAATACTGCTATCATGTCACCCCTAGTCCTTCTTTTCTCTAGACTAGCCAAACCCAAGTCCTGCAATTGTTCTTCATAAGTTTTACTCTCCAGGGCTTTAATCATCTTAGTTGTTCTTCTTTGCATTTTTCCAATATCTCAACATCTTTTTTGTAGCATGTATGCAGTATTCCAGGTGTGAATAATTTTTTATTATTGAAAATTGTTATTATTATTGTTATTGTTGTTGTTATTATTATTATTTAGTGAAAAATCATTTGCTTGTACACTTTTAGTGATCTCCTAAGAAGAGGTCTGTTGATCAAACAAAATTTTCTTTAATCTGGCTTCTGTTCTTATTATGGCCATATAAAATTACAACCAATCTTCCTTTTTTCAAGTCAAAAATTCTACTTGTCATTGAGTGCTGCACGTGGAGCTACACTTCACAATTTGCCTGGATACGATCTACATTTGATTTGGTTTGACTTACACTGAAACTTAATGAAAGCTTAAAATTGTTAATGGTTCTCCTCTGCTGTTTTTATTATCTTTGTCTGTCACATTAGAAATTATAATGTACTCTAGCAACAGTTATTTCTAGTGTACTCAAATAACCCTGGGAGTCAGGCTGTGTACCTCTATCCTGCGCAGTTGTCAAGCAATAATATCAATTGCTCCCAGGTTGTCATATGAGAATACATGATCCTTATGCATGACATTTTACTAGATAATGTTGTGACAACCACATTCCTCTTTCACATGTCTTACTTCTCCAGTAAATTCATTTATAAACATAGCATTACTGCATCTATTAGATATTTGACAAAGGACACTTTTCCTTCATAAAAGTTAGAAAAACTTACGTGTGGGATGTTCTCCATGTTCAGGGAGACAGGCCCGGAGTAATAAATATATTCTACAAAAAAAAAAAAAAAAAAAAAACCCACCATTTCCAGTGATGAGCAAGAAAACTGGTTGAGACAGAAACTATTTTATACAATGAATGCCATGAATAATCTCTATGATTAAAATACACCACATATGCAGAAAAATACCCTCATTCTATTGGATGGAAACCAAAAATCAGATCCTTGCTCAATAATTAACTACTCTAATACAGACTTGGCACACCGTCTTCAGGTCTCTGCAATAATGAGCTGCTGAATTTTGTAACAATACTGTACCTTCATCTTTGTGTATGGTTTAAAGGTTAATAATATTATTAAGGTGACCAACCATCTCCTTTAGGGAGGACAATCCTCCTTTTGTAAGTTCTGTCCTCCCTTGAAAAGTGTCCTCCTACATGTCCTCCTTTTTGATATTTGAAGACTAATCTGCAGGGCTTTTTTTTTCTCATAGAACACTCAGAACGGCGTTCTGGCACCTTTTTTTTGATGGTTTTTTTTTTTCAGCTTTTGCATGAGCTGTGCTACTCCTGCTATTGGCTTTCGAAAGCCAATAGGAATTGCTGCTGAGCGTGCCAAAACACCCAACTGGCAAACTTTGCACATGCAAGTTGTCTGTATTATTGTTGCAATGAATAAAATGTTTCTTTTATTTACAATATTTTTTCTTCAATTTATTTGTGTCCTCCTTTTCATTGTAAAAAAGTTGGTCACCTTAATATTATTTATTAACAAATAATGTTTCTATTGTTTGTTTTTTAAAATTGTAGCCAGCAGCCCACCTGTAACAGACAACCTTGCAATAAGTCAGTACAAAAGTCACTGAGAACAATCAAATGTGCTAGATCATAACTTACAACATGGATCACAACTGAAGTCAACAAAGTCTTAACAAAACAAAAAAGCTGCTTAATTCCAAAACCGTTGCCCTAGTGTCCCTTTCAAGGGAATACATTTTGTCTCTTCATGAAACCCTAACAGTGTGAGGCCAAATCAACTTTGGGGAGCTATTCTACAATGCCTGGATTACCATTGAGGTTTATCTCCAGCCTTTCATCCTCTTAGTCCTTCAAGAGGTGGGGACACTAAAGCTCTCACTGGGTGGGCAGATTCTAATCAGAGGAGGCAGTGCTAAAGGTAACAGAGAGCCTGAGCATGTAAGGATTTTACAAGTTAGGCCAGCACATTGAGTTGGTTTTCTAAACCTAAAGGTAGCTAGTGCAGTGGTTATGGCACAAGTGTTGTGCTGCTGAAGTGGTTCTCACTCACTGGAAACCAAGCTGTCATATTCTGAAGCAAGTGCAGTTCCTGGGCAGCCCAGAGTAGAACATGTCACAATAGCCTAATCACATGGTAGAAGGGCATAAATCTCTGTTGTAAGACTTTCCAGTCCAAGCAAACTATAAAGGATGCACCAAGGGAAACTATAAAGGATGAAGCTGGGAAATGATGCCTTCTAGCTTCTACCTGCTGCCCGAGTGGAGCCATAAGTCCAGGAGATGAATCAAGTCATAAACCTGCTCTTTCAGGAGGACTGTGACCCTTTCCAGAAGAGAGCCCACATACAAACAGTAACCCCCTTTTGCTCGAATTCAGTCTAAGCTTGTTTTGTCCCATTCAATTGCTCACAGTCTGTAGACTCCAAGTAATCATTCAATTGCTCACAGTCTGTAGACTTCAAGTAATCATGGGTGGTAATATATAACTGGGTATCATCCACCTACTGATGATATTTTTTTCCCCTTTCCATTCAATCGTGTCAGATTCTTAGTGACTACCTGGACAAGTTCTTGCAGTTTTCTTGGCCTAAGGCTGAGAGAGACAGACTGGCCCAAGGACCCCAGATGGTTTTGTGCCCAAAGTGGGACTAGAACTCACAGTCTCTGGATTTCGAAGGAGTGGAGTGACCAGGTATTGGACTGCTCGACCTCCAGGACTGTCAATTAAAACTACCCACTCAGAAAGGAGTAGAATAGCCATTTGAGAGTGCCTCTAACCTCAATCCATATAAATGGTTTAAAGCAGTGGTTCTCAACCTTTTTAATGCCGCGAGCCCCAACTGGTCGTAAGTTGAGGACTACTCAACTGGTGCAGCACCGTTTGCAGAATGGGACTTTTGGTGGGCTATTCAAGAGAGTCTATTCTATTGGCTTTCAAAAGCCAATAGAATAAAAGGGAGTAGCACAGCTAAGGAAAAGGGGGAAAAAAATGATGGACTGCGTTGTTTGGCGACCCCCGTGAAATGGTCGTTTGACCCCAAATGGGGTCCTGACCCACAGGTTAAGAACCACTGATTTAAAGGATACCATGGTGAATGCTACTAAACTCTACCTAGGCACACTTGCTCTATAAAAGATCCTAACTCAGGATATTCAATGATTTCAGTCCTATGTCCAGGATTGAACTCTTCCTGGAAGGGATTCAGATAATCCAAAATATTTCTGATTCTCTGTAGTTGATGCTCTAATGCCATTTAGCGTCCTGCAGTGGCACAGCAGTACCCTGCCAAGGTGCAGAAAATGGAGAAAAATATAACAAGGGAAAAACTCTATATGCCGCCTTCAGTCCTTGAATGAAAAATTAATAAACATAAAAGGAATAATTGTAAGCATGGAGTAATAGAGTTATAATGCAGCCACTGACAGAAAGTGAAGTTGGTCAGAATATTCTGAGGAGACTTAAATACTGCAAACACATATTACTTAAAAAAAAACCCACCCTCTAAACCAGGGGTTCTCAACCTTTGGCAACTTTAAGACTTGTGGACTTCAACTCTCAGAATTCCTCAGCCAGCTTTGCTGGCTGAGGAATTCTGGGAGTTGAAGTCCACAAGTCTTAAAGTTGCCAAGGTTGAGAACCCCTGAGTGACAGACAAGTTTCTAAACAGATGAATGACAAAGTGAATCAGAATTGTTATGTAATAGTGAGATAATATGACATTGCATTGTTGTAACTGTTTCAACCAAGAGACTGAAATGTACCTTACTCCCCTTATATGGTTCAACGAATGGTCTGTTAAGGGCACTGGGGGAGTTAGATTCTTTGTTTAATGGTCATAAAGCTATTTATAATTCTGGTGTAGGTCATGCTGCATATGTGTTCAGAGGTTCCTTATATTTCCTGCCCAAATGCTGTTCTCTAACTTTTTGATTTTTCTATAAAGAAAGAATAATAGCACAACTATGCATGTATACTTTAAAGGCATCTGAAACAAAACAAAAGACAGAGTGTCTATTAAAAAAAAAACTCTTCAAAACGTATGTTTAGTTTCAGTCCTGATCAGTGGCTTTCTACTACCCGCTTCAGCTTGGCTGAGCTCCAGACTCATTTTGGTTTCCTTTCGGTGTTTGGCCAGAGCCAAGATGGGGCCAGGATTTCCCTTAAAATCTTCTCCTGGCTCCCAAGAGGCTGTGTGGAAAGAGAAACTGGTTTCTAATGAACAGTTGGTGTGGGTATGTATGTGTATGAAAGAGAGAGAGAAAGAGAGAGAGAGAGAGAGAGAGAGAGAGAGAGAGAGAGAGAGAGAGAGAGAGAGAGAGAGAGAGATCAGTGAGCACAAAATGGTCAAAGAATTGCATGAATTTAATCAGTGTTAATTCTTGACTCCATGATATTCCTTGTTATGATGCATATTTCTCTCTCTCTCTCTCTCTCTCTCTCTCTCTCTCTCTCTCTCTCTCTCTCTCTCTCTCTCTCTCTCTCTCTCTCTCTCTCTCTCTCTCTCTCTTTCTCATCACATCTAGCCATTCCAACAGGTCCTACAAGAAAAGTCAGGTTGCACCTAACTTAGGGGTAGGGAACCTTGGCTCTTTTATGACTTGTGGACTTCAACTCCCAGAATTCCTGAACCAACCATGCTGACTCAGGTATTCTGGGATTTGAAGTCTACAAGTCATAAAAGAGCCAAGGTTCCCTACCCCTGATTCCTAACCCATCCTTAAAGGAATATATCTGATGGGACCAGGAGGAGAGCCTTTTCTGTATGGCAACCCCACCTCTGGAACATTCCTCCTCCAGTGGGCAGGCTGGTGCTGACATGACTGGCCTTCCAGAAGAACCTGAAAATGTAACTCTGCCATCTGACCTGGGGATTTGGTAGTAATGGCATGATGCCTGCAAAGGGGTTGTATTGTTAGTGAGTTTACTGAGTTTTCCCGCTGATAATATTTTTTTATGGTTTTAAAAGTTACAGTATTTTTGTTTTACTGTTTTTGCATTTATGTGGTTTGGTGTTTTTTTAAAAAAACTTTATAAGTTATTTAGGGTCACGTATCTGAGATGGGATGGCTATGTAAGTTGAACAAACAAGCAAGCAATAATAAAAGAATTTGGCTTTCTACTTGTCTGCAAAAGGAACTGTTTGTGTGGCTTCTACAATAGATTACCTTTCTTTCTCTTGAATTTTCCACAAGTTTTTATTAAGTACTTCCTCAGAATCAGGGAGCTGTCAGAGAGATTTGTGAGCATGTGAGAATTTAAGTTTGTCATCAGTCTCATGTCCATAATTTGCATGATTGTGTGCTTAGGTGGCACTTGGTTATTACTGTCTGATATCTTCGAGCTACATAAAAATTGCTCCAGCAGATCTTCAGAGCACACATCTTAATGGATGGATTGTGGCATCATCATGAAACTCACAGCTCTGTATTTATGATTATAATTCTGATTAGGATGTCAACATGGAAGACTTAAGATACCTTTGAATCTCTTTGATTAGCTTATTGTACTATAACTGATGCTCATTTCATATTTGCTCCACTATCTATGTATTCATATACATATGTGAAACAGAGCAGAGCAGGTGGTATTAATCAGCTGTTTGACCAAGCAGGGAACCTCTAATTCCTAACCCAAATTCCTAAATCTATTTATAAGGCCTTTTGGGGGCTATGGCTATTTTTTTTATCAGAGATAAGCATCTGAGTTCCCCACTCCCACTTTTTTTTAACCCCTTTCATTTGATTTGGGGCAACAAATCAAGTAGCAGATAAGAAGTAGCACACATCCTGCAGAAAAGAGAACAACACTTTCCCAACTTTGGCTGATCTGGAAAAAGGTCAGCAGGGTCAGTGCCATTGTATGAAAAAAAATTACCTCCTTTCTTCTTTCCACAGAATTGAAACTGGGGCCAATTTCGTTCACAAAGTGGTTTGCTGTAAAGTGGTACAATATGTCCATTAAGAGTAGTACTGAAATCCACAGTGAGTTCATTGATGGCGTGCCCTGTAGAATAGATGTAGTATGAATCTTATCAGGAAGTACACAAGAACAAGGCCTTGCCACTGTGCTACTTTAGTTTTCATAAAACGAGAGAGAGAGAGAGAGAGAGAGAGAGAGAGAGAGAGAGAGAGAGAGAGAGAGAGAGAGAGAGAGAATTCACATGTGTGTAAAATGTGGTTTATACAATATGTCTCACCTATTGTAAATCCCCAAATTTAAAGCAAGTGGATATTCCAACTTACATTCAATTACTTGAGACAAATATCTACACTGGATGTAGAGGGAGTTTGGTTTTGATTTAACAAACACAAAATCCATCCTTAGTAAGTTTCATGCTTGGGACAAAATTATAGTATGATTCAGATTGGCTTAAAAACCTATTTAATTCTAGCAAGACCAGAGTTGAACAAAACTGAAATCTGGCAAGTCAAGATAGGAGGCATGGCTAGATCTAAAAAAATCAGTTTCCCTGTAGATGGCCTTAATCCAGTGGTGGGATTCAGCCAGTTCGCACCACTTTGGCAGAACCGGTGGTTAATTTTTTGTTGCCCAGGCCCAGAATGGACTTCCAGAAGCGGCATCCACACAGAGAACCAGTTGTTCACATATTTGAATCCCACCACTGCCTTTAGAGGCAGTCACACTACCAGGAAGACTAATAGCCATTGATCCCTATGACTTCTATGAATTGGCCTAATCTTTTCTTGAAGCCAGCCATGCCTGTATCCCATACCACATTCAGTGTAGCAAATTCCAAAGTTTAATTGTACGTTGTGTAAAAAAAAATCTGTTTATCTAAATCCTAGTCACCTTTCAAAACCTGGTTTAAGTGAACAAATTAGTAAAAATAGACTTTAATTTTAGATTGTAAGAAACTTAATTGGTTGCAAACAATGTTAGGGGCAATGTGCAACTGGCTCTCTCTGTCCAACTATACCTCTGACATCAGCATCACAATTGCACAGATTTCCTCCTCCCTAAAGAATATTGTTATCCTACATGCAGGATGTACAACATCCATATATGCTCTGAGTTTGCATAGTATGTTGAACTCCAAAAATAAGTAGGGCTGGACAGTTTAAGGAAGGGTTTCAGGTGTTTTAACGAGGGAAATGGGTTCCCTAAACTTCTGTGAGTCTTAAGATTGCCACTGTATCCTTTAAAGCAGGGGTTTTCAAACTTGGCCCTTTTATGACTTGTGGACTTCAGCTCCCAGAATTCCTCAGCCAGCGTGCCTGGCTGAGGAATTCTGGGAGTTGAAGTCCACAAGTCATAAAAGGGCCCAGTTTGAAGACCCCTGCTTTAAAGCCTTCCTAAATTAGAGCTTGGGGAAAAGCTCTACAAAAAGAATATTGCTAGGTCATATTTGCAGCCCTGGCTTATACCAAAGGAGAGCAATCTGTAATTTTCCAGATCAGTTGAGCTTTGAACCTCATTATCCTACAACTTGGCCATCTTGAGGAGATCTGATGGGAGTTGTCCTCCTCTACCATGCAGTGACGTAGTTGCAAAATCATGCCCATGAGGTGCCACAGGGAATCTAGGAAAATATTCACTGCTGAGATTGGTGTTGCTTCTGAAAACAGCTTTTGGTGTACTTTCCTTTCAGAAATATCCTTAATAATAAGTCATGTAACGTTAATTCATCATAAGTCCTTCATTGAGTTACTTGGTTAAGTAATCAGCAAATGAGGATACATGTACTGTAATATATGGGGCAGTTATAAGCTTATTAGGAATGCATATCTGATAAGAAATTTCAGGGTGAGTATCAGTCTATGCCTTTCCAAAAGTCAGCTTACTTAGCAACACAAATATCCCATAGTTTCTGCTCAGCCAGTGCAGGCTGGCAGAGTTGGTGTGCCCCACAACCCTTGGATTAAACAATGGCATCTATTAGGACCCAGGAAGGGTGCCTTCTCTATTGCAGTACCTGCTGTCTGGAATGACACACACACACAGCTGGATCATGTGGTTCTCACCATGATCACATTCCAGAAGGCATGAAGACCTGACTCTTCCCCCCAAGGCTTTGCGTTAGGGTGAATTGGGGCCCCTTGATGAATGAGGTTTTCATTCATGTTTGTATGGAGTAATTGGATGTCATAGGCTTATTTGTATAGTACTGGGTTTTTATTCTGTTTTCTCTTTGATTTTGTGAGCTGCATAGAATTGCTTTGGAGCCAGGCAGGACCTAAATCTAATAATAAGACGAATAAATTGTAGCTGATTATTTTAATTTAGGACACAAAGCATTCTCTAAACCATTGAACAATTGCCCACTTGTACTGTGATTCAGCACTACAGAGCAGTGAATTGCTATACTTACTTAAAACAGTTGCTAATCGAATGTTAACATCTTTGCCGGCTACATAGGAGCAACTGTCAACACTCAAAGCAACATCTTGCAGAGGATCTGCAAAGAAAAATAAGACGCAAATCACAAGTGATTGATTTTACTGTAGCCTAAATAAGAGCTATAACAGTGTAGATAACAAAACATCAGAAAGATATTTCTTAAACTTGTTTTCAAATCAATTATCTTCACGGTTCCTGTGGATGTGTGGATCACTCTGCTTTCCGCTTGGGAGATTCAACAGGGAAGGAAATTCAAAGCTTGTGATCCCTGTCCTTTTGACACCATAACTTGATTAAGCAATCGAGCTTCTGAGCAGAAGCAAATGTGGAGGACCAGACTTTCCTTTGCAGCTTGCCCTGAAATGCCACTTCTGCAATGCCCCTATTGAAATTTAAACAGGAAGCACTTTGCTTCTTCAGGATGTGATTGGACCACCAAAGGTATCCTCCAACTTTCCAAGGTCTTCCTCAATTTCTTTTTGGCAGACCCTCCAGGGATAGTTGGCTTTTTCAGACCTCCCTTTAAGTATCAGCCCCATAGATCAATCACACCGGTGTTTTTTTATGCTATCTTATAGCATAAATTCCTCTGACTCCCTTACACAGAATAATTTTATATCTATAAGTTTTTGTAGTTTTTCTTCTCTGTTATTCTGAGGAGAAATAGATGCTATATTTAATTTTAGCAGACTTGTCCACAGAACACATAGTGACAAAGTGTGCTGTGGCATTCCCCTTTGCACATGGACAGTGTAGGTAAATTTTGCAGCACCAACAGCCTTATTTTGTTCAAAATGTTTCTGTCGCTACAGGGCACATAGGATGAATGGAGAGAAAGAGCCGCATATCTTACAACATATTCATTTCATAGTTGAAAACAAACTAGCACATATAACTTTATGCACCAAAAGTTTTCTTTATGCCTTTAAAATATATATATATTTGTGATCACACCAATAGATGCAGTTTCTCTGTAAGAACTATTTTAATAAAATATTGTGCTCTGATTATCAAAACAAAGGCATGGGCAACAAGGAAGATAGCATTATAAGGAAACAGGAATAGAACCCTTTGTGCTTTCTTCCCTATCTGTCAAAATCAGTTTTGTTTTTGTTTTATCATGATATGGTAAATGAGCATTGCTTAATATTTTTGCTTCTTAAACACTTTTGACGATTATTTTGCAATCCCATTGTCACCGAGATGTCATAAGTAGGTTATGAAAACCCATTAGAAAATGGATTTCATAACACCAACATCTTGACATCTCTTTTGTGTGCTATCAGTTCCCCTTTTTGCCTTCAGCTGGTTTTTAGATTAGCTATTTGACTTTGCAAAAAAAACAACCACCCGTTTCTCCTCTTTTTTCTACTCATGCATGCAGATGGTACAGTATAGAAAAAAGTCTATAAGGGGATTTGTTTGGTAGAGGTGCCTCTTGTAGCATTTTCAGCCCTTGCTCTCAGTCTTCAAGTGTAGATTAGTTGTATTCCTGCAACAGGAACAGATGTGCAGCAGTTGGTATTCTGTTGATTGGTATGTTTTCAGAGAGTAAAAAAGGAGCATGGCAAATTGTTGTCTGTGAATTTGCAGTTTGTGCTATTGTTTTTTTTTTTTTTTCCCTCCTTCCAATGGTGCTGCTGGTTTGGATAATTTGAGCCTTATGCAGGCAGCTGATAGCACACATGATTATGGCCTTAACTTGGGGTAGTCAGTTGATATAATGATTTTATAGTCTTTTTAAAATAATAGATGTTGATGGTGTTAGTCGGAGTTTTATGTTGTCTAACTTGTCTGCCATCCCTGTTTTACCAGTTGTTTGAATAGCCGGTTATGGGGGTAAATGAATCAATAAAAGGAAAATGCTCTATACAGACTATAAAACTAGTTATTGTCTCACAGGTTCCAATAACTGGTGGGTAATAAGTTGTGCAGGAAAAATGCACAGATGTCATGGGGGTGGGGGGTGGGAGTGTCCACTTTACTGCTTAGAGAGTTACTCTGTTCCATCCACCCATCCATCAATCTGTCCGCAGGCTGAAAATGTACACATCCTGAATTCTCACAGAGTCAAAATGTTTATCTTCCTTTCCCAGGAGTAAATTATGCTGTACTTCAACCTCTCATTTCCCCTCCACACTTGAGAAACACACAGCACTGTTGAATTTCTAGATTTTTTTATATGCATTTTTTTTCAGAACCACTTGCCAAATTAGATCTTTTTTTTGTTTTATAAAATCCCCCTCATATATTGTGTGTGTGTGTATGTGTGTATTTAAAAAAAGTCTATTGTTGAATATTTCATTTGGTAATTCAATTCAAAGGCAATTTGATTGGACCTCTAAAATGAAGAATATTTCCAAACAGAATTAGCAAACTGATCTGAATTGAATCAAGCATTCTGATGTTAGATTCTTCCAAAGCAATTCAGATGTCTGAATCAAACTGCATTGATGATAGTTTGATTGGAAAGATTAAACTGAATTACATTGCAAATCTAAATGGAATCACTTGGTCAAATAGGATTTTATCTCATGTATTTATTTGTTAGATATATATCCTCCCTTTGCTTTAGAGAATCAAGGTTATGAACATAACACTTTTCCCTCTTAATTTTTTTTTAGATTGGCTGAGCCAAAAGTCTATAACTAGGTTAAAATCATTCCATGAGCTTCCGTGACTATTGGGAATGTGCCAGTCAGGCAAGGAGGAGGAAACAAGTGTGCAATTTGCCTTGAGTTTCTGCCTTGCATGGTGACCAGAGACCTAGGTTGGAAACCCCCCCCCCCAAAAAAAAAGTTCCATGAGACTATCTGCTTGTTCCAAGAGAAGGTAAGCAGTCTGGGGAGATTCTTGTATTATAGGTAGACTACAATAAAGTAGTCAACTTGAACCCTTCACATGTGGATCTTGTTACTTATGCCTGACACTGGCTGAGGCTAGACTTGAATTTCTTTGATACAAGCCTAATATTTTAATTATTATATTATTGACTATTATTGACTATTATACTATTATTACTTTCATTTTTTACATACTAGTTCTTTGCAAAGTACAATCTTGATGACCCATCAAGCATTTCTTCAACCATATTACCAAAATATCTCCATCTATGAAGATCAACATTGTGGCAAAATTTATTTAGCTATACAAATCACCAACTTAATTAGTTAAGGGTAGGTCTTCTATAGATTATCCAGCATCCTTATGGCCACTGAGTCTCAATTGTGCAAAATTGTTACAACTGAATTATCTTTAGAGATTTACTTTCACAGGAATAATATTGGAGTTTTGCTGTTTTCATGCTTTAAAATTTCCCGGACAATCTCTGTCTTTGACATTATAACTATACCTTGATATTCCTATCCTTAGCAACCCTCAGTTGTAAAGCTAGAATGTATTAATCTTTATGCATTAAGGAATTGTCCATTTTCCTTCGTTCTATTTTAACTATATACCTGAATAAGTTTTTCCAAGTAGTGGAATCCTACACAATGAATATCTGATGTTTCTATGATGACAATACAATAGGCTCAACCATCATATTGAAATCACATTAGAAAAATTTCATTTTCTCTCCCCCCCCCTTCTCTCTTGTTCCTATGCCATTCCAGGTTCAATGCTTTTGAACAGTTAGTTGATAATTTTCTAACAAATTATTGATTTAAATTATTTTTGGGAAAACAATTTCCAGTAGATTAATTGCATATGTTTCCAGACATTGATCTGATTGAGTTCACATAGTTTGGGAGGGAGGTGGTGGGCCATTATTCTGCAGAGTACATAAATGCTTTTGGCCTTTCTCTATTCCACTCCTGGGAATAATTAAATAATGGAAAGGCGGTAAATTATTTTAGCTCCTGTTTTTCCAAGTTCATGCTATAGTAGAGCAGAATTGAAAATGAACACACAATAAACTGATTCTTAGCATTTTCATAGTGCTTTCTGCCTCCAAAGACCTAAATATGATACCCTCTAATTAATTCTAACCACAGTCCTGGTGTGGAAATGATTACAAACATTTTTTAAAAAATTCACAGCTAAAATGCTTTCTCACCACTGGTATTCCAGCTAGGGAAATAAATTACTTTCAGTGTTCCCTAAACTTCTCATAGTGATCACTCCTACCCTGCACTTTTAAAATTTAGAACTGGAAACACATTTCACTTGCTAAGACAAAAGCTACTTACAGTCCCATCAATTGACAGGGTGAAACAGTGGGATTAGTTTAACATTAATTGAGTTCTGACTGATCTGGGCCTCTTAAAGTAGACTGCTCCTTTTTAAAAACTTTATATCCCAATAACCACTCTGTAACAGCAGCTCTGAGTACCAACAAGATGGAAAGAAAAAAGATAAAGGGAAAAAAAGCATATTTTCCCTTAAAAGACAGTTACAGGAAATCTGTTACTTTATTTATTGGTTACGGTAAATTTTAAATAATTAAAATGTCAATAATACTGTTGAAAATACTGCTGTAACTAAAAAAAATAACAAGTGAGAGAACTCATGGGGATTGTTTGCTATAATAGAGGCAGTTTTCCTATAAATCCAAGCCAGAAAAAAAGATAGTCAAATAACACGAAGCCAGCAAACTTTAATGCAAAACTATTTTATTCTTAAATTAGATTAAATTAAATTGGCTCCTGAGACCAAGTGTTGTTCCAATTCTGGATATCAATAAATGAATAAAATAAATTCCCCTGAGATCTTGGTTCCTGGCAGCTCTGACTTCTGTTTCTGTTCTCCTCTCTTTATATTCCAATTTAAAAAGGCATCATTTCCTATTCTGGTTACTTCAACATACTCATGGTTATTTGTGTACTTGTGTACACTGGTTGAGAACAGTACAAGACAGTATCCTATCACCAGTGTTTCAACTTGAAACAATGAAAATGAAAAGGCAATTTTGTCTTTTGCCTCAAAGGGCAAGTGTTGTGGGCAGGATATCTATAGGTAAAGAGACCCAGGGATGACCTTGGAGAACCTATGCAGAGTTAGTTAGGACAACAGGTACAAAAGCATACTTCAGTCTGGGAAGAAACTCAGTCTGGTTCT